GTGCCTACACAGTATGATGACGTCACATAAATGTGGCAGTGTGGACAGAGTTTTCAACGTAACATATATTTGATTCCTTTTCAAATTCATACAAATATAAAATACAAAATCAGTAACAATTCAGGAGAAAAGGAAAAAGGCACAGACCCAAGAAGAAGAAACATCTTGTGGCGAGTCAGCCTGAAACAAAAAGGCAAAAGGGAGACGGGAAAAACAGAAAGATAGGACTTGGACAGAACAAGACAAATAAGACAAAAAAAGCAACAGCTCAAATTAGACCAAGACAACGAATTACACAAAGACAACGAACAAAATTTTGTGAAAACAAGAAGGATAATTGGGACGTTCACTACCGTATTAACTAGAAATAAAGTGTTTCTTTGCTGAATAGAAAATGATTTTTTTTATTAATGGAATCGACAACAGGGAGGTATAAAATTACATATTTTAGGGCCAGTAAATGTAATATTATGTTGAAAATAGTTTGTGTTATGATTAGAAATATATACATGAGATCTACCTCGAGTGCACTAGAGAGAAATTAATTTTGAATATATCACAAACGTACTTTGTCTTTAGTCTCATTATGAGGATTGAGGAGCTGAGTTTCGATTTTAAATCGTAAGAAAAAAATGCTGCTTTGAATTTCCAAAAACCCTGGTATTAGAAAATGTCTAATCCTAAATTACGGAAGCGTTGAATCTCTCAGTGGTTATTCGAGTGGATTAAAATTAAACATTTTCTAGAGACAACGGTTTCTTTACTCATTACTTGAAACTAGAAATAAAGTGTTTCTTGTTACTAGAAATAAAGTTTCCCCCTCACCCACAACCCCACCCACCTATTAAGTTTCAAAAAGAAAAAATAGAGAAAAAAGTCAGAGACTAGTGCCATAATAATAAATTTTGTTGCCGCACAACCATTGTGGAGGTGAGGTGATATAGACCTGAATCTGTGAACCTTCCCCAGCAATACTGTAATGACCTATAATACTCTAAACTTTAAAATAAGATTTACAATAATGAATGACAGATACTGCAGACTATGATAACACATCTCTTTTTTGAATGTTATATTTTTATAAAATATGTTTTTTAATGAAAATTAAAGGGTTCAGGTTATATAATATATAATACGCCGATAAATCTATAAATTACAGTAACATCCGCTGTCGTAACGACACAACAGGAACCGGTCGAAGACATTCTTCAGCATCTGGTAATCGATAAGGTGTTTGTGAATAGTGGCGGATACAGAATTTGTTAAAGATTGATGAGACGATTTGTTTAACAAATTAAAATTTCTATGTGTTTTGAAGTTACACAAATTATGTACCTCTTCATTTATGTTTGATCTCTATCATGAAAAATTACCTCAAGATTTAAATGAATATTTTACATTTATCACACACCCACATGAAACTAGGCAAAACTCAAAGGGAAATCTATATCCGCCAAAGGCTGCCACTACAACTGGACAATTTTTGAATTACCTCTGTAGGCTCCAACATTTGGAATAAAATACCAATATACACATCTTTATTCTTTATTAAAACTTTATTTATAGAGGATAACCCTTCCAACTGGACCAAGAAGGCAGCTGAAGTTCAGGGGCCCTCTATTAAATATATAAAACACATCAGAAAAAAATGTTTGAATAATAATTAGATAAATTATTATCTAATTATTAGAAAAATTTATTAGAAAAACAATTATTAGAAAAAAATATCAAAAATTAATCTCAAATCGCCTTATTTTGCCAGCTAACCTACCCCCATACCCCACCCTGAACCTTACCTATTCATTGAGCCGCACTTAACAATCCCAAAAAACGAAATGGTTAAAACCAAATACAGTTTTAAGTCCTTAGTAACGAGTATAATATTATAAAATATATGGCAATAATTAAAATTACCCCTGTACATATTATTTCAGAAGCATTATCATAAATGCTCTTATTTTTTCTCTTGCATATATCACTTTTTTAAAAGTGGTATTTATACAAGCATTCGGAAACAGGGGACACTATGATTTCAAACAAAAAAAGTGAAAATGATTCTTGTTATTAGTGAATACGCCAAAAAAAAATCCATAACACAGTATCACATCCGTTGTCGTACTCTATGGTATCCAGTAATCAATAAGGTATCGTCAAACTAAACTATGTATGTAGGCCTAATTATCGTATTTATTCGAATAATTAACACCCGGAGCATGTATTGTTGAGAAGGGTTTTTGAGGGGATGTTTATTCAGGAAAGGCATTTATTCGACGAATGTGTTTATTTTACATTTTTTGGGTGTAAAATGGATACGTAATTATACGCAAATAAACACTCCTTAATTTCACTGTAAATGTGAAACTACAACACATAGGCCCTAATTACTGATTATTGCGTGATCATAAAGTCTTATTGATCCCAACCAGGTTAATAAAAATGTAATTCTACTGGAGTAGAATATTATTAGAATATTTTGAGAATGATGTTGCTTCCATTTGTTTTGTTTAGTCATTTAGGAGGCGTTCCTTCGATGAAAAAAATAACGCCCCGGGGTGTTCATTCCAAATGAGGCTCTGAAGGGGAAGGGAGTTTCGAGGGGCGTTTCTTGGAATAAATACTGTATATGTCTAATATGCTTTTTATATTCTACTTTAACCAGAGACAGTTAAACGAGTACTCACACCAATGCTCAGCAATTAACAAGTACAATAATATAATTCAAGATAAAATGGATTTAACTTCTCTTGAAGAGATCTCTCATTTTTAGAAAACATTAGTATACAAGCATTCAGGCAGAGTTTTCATAGAGTTGAGTTCGATTATGAAAATGATGACAACTTAAAATTAATGATGACTCCTCAAGATGATGATGATGATAATTAATGATGATTCATTATGATAATAATAATTAATGATGAGGATTCATAATGATGATAATCAATGATGATATTGTTGTGAATGATGATGATGAAGACGGTGACTGATGATGAAGCGGTTTGGCGCAGCGTGAAAAGTTTGCCTTTCCAAACTTGATGTCGGGGTTTCAATCCCTCGCTGTGCATTTCACTTGTGTCCTGGAGAAAGGCAATTTACCTGCATTTCTTCTCTCCACCCAGGAGTATAAATGGGGTTGCTTGCTCCTGCACTGAATGCAGCAGCAACACTTATGCATGTGGATCCAATGACCAGGGACAGAAGCGCTTCGTATCGGCAAAGAAATGTACTATATAAATATATGAATATGAATGAATGATGATAATTATTGATCATTAATGATAATGTGATGTCTGATGATTGACCATGACGATAGTGCTGTGTATGATAATACAGTAATGGTAATGATGATAAATGATGATGATGAATGATGGTGGTAGTGATGATGATAGCGATGATGCCTATAGGTGTTGCAATCAGGTTGCACATTGCTTCCCTGACAGCTAATGGATGAACTCAGTAGTAATTCTAATCGAGCAAAATACGTTTTTGATGCTATCGCAATCTGTAGGAAATGAGCCAGCAGCAAAATAGTTTCAATTTGCTAAAACTTCAGAGCTTCCAGGAGGCAAAGCTTCTTCGACCCCACAAAAAGGTACAAAGCATCTAAACCTGATGCCTCGGACCCTAGGTTCCTGCCCCCTCATATCCTAAGACCCCACCCCATGGACTATATAAATACTTTAATAGCATTTGTTCCGCCAGAAAATAAATCCTGGATCCGCTAGTGATAATAGAATTACCAAGCATATCTAAATAAAATGAAACACTGATGCAAAATACTGTACTAATATTCTGTGTAGTAATTTATTCACTTTATATCTATTTGTTATATTACAACCTTCCAAATGTCTGGAAGATATATTTTAAGAATTCCAGTGGCAGATTCAAGTGGTGGGTAGGGGGGGGGGGACTAGTCCAGTTGCCCTGGGCCCATTAAATTTTTAAAAATTTAAATGGAAAAATGAAAAAAAATAAATAAAATTATATTCAAGAGAGTGTCATTTCTGGCAACCTAAAGGTGCCACAATTATAAATTTTCTTACCTCAGCCGTAAACATGATGGGGGTTGAGGTGGTCTAGACCACTATCTGTGAAAGTCTCTACATGGTCCCCTGTATTTAAAATTCCTGGATCCAACATTGAATTTTATTTATAGGGCAAAGAGCTAGAATATTTCAACCTAATTCGATAAAATATGCCTTCATAAAAAAAAATTCAATATTCTTTAGTATGTAGGGTATTGGTATAGTTAATGACAAATATATAATGAATATACCTGTATATTATATTTAATTAAAAAATATTCAACATATAGATACAGGAAAATTAAAAGATAAGAACAATAAATGCCCTTCTAGACAATTAGATCCAAATATTATGACAAACAATAAAATACATTTATAATATTTTTAAGAATTATTAAAATCTTTAATATATGTCATACTTTTATTAGTGGGGGTTCTACAAAACAGAGGAATACTCCATCATCTGTAAGAATTCTTGCTTCACCATTAGTTTACTAAAAATGTACAAATTAAGTACATTATTTGAAATAATATTATTATTGCAGTACATTACTGTAGCTCAATGCAGACAGTATCATCTTTACAGCCAGGCACTCTTTTTACCTCCAGTTTTTAAATATTCAAATATCTGTATCCCATTAACCGCTTCCAAGTTTTCCTTCAAATATGCTTTTTGTGTCTTAGAAAAATTAGTTCTGCAACATATCAAAAACAAATTTTCCTCCGTAGCCTGACGTTAAACATAGAAGGAATGATGTACTACTGAAGAACTGGTGGTAGGGAATGAATATCTGTCTTTCCAGTCTGCCCCATTACCTTTACCAGAAGCTGCACCCAAAGCTGAAAATTTACATTATCTACACTAAATGTCGGGTTTTCACTGGGCGCAGCCATTTTATTTGGTCTGAATACAGGGAACACTTCATAAATACTCCTACGTCACTCTCAAACAATTATATAGTGGCAGCATAGCTAGAAAACAAATAATTAAGAAATGTATGCAGGGCGTACCTACGACACCCCTCGCTATAAAGTAGGGTTAAAGAGGGCGTCGTCACCACGCCATACGACTGGAAAGGGTTAAAATAGAGTTAATCAAATGGGTCCCTATCCCACCACTCTACCATGAAAAAATTTAATCTTCACATCTTTATAAACATAGGTAAGATTTATATATAACTTTCATTAATAGGATTTTTTAGTACTGAAATGTCTGCCAGAGTGACTGGACAAACCGATCTGTTTCTTGCATGAGTTATGCTGCTATTTGGTAGCAAATTAACAGCTGGCTGCAATAAAATTGATTAAATGGTCTCTATCCCACCCCATGAAAAAAAATTAATCTTCACATCTTCACAAACATAGATAATAATTTTATACCAAGTTTCATTAATAGGACTTTTTAGTACTAAAAAGTTTGCCTGTTACTGGACAAACGGATCTGTTTCTTGCACATGTTACGTGAGTTATGGTGCCATTTGGGTACCGTACGAATGTGGCATCCGTGAAAGGTTGATTGCATACTTTACAAATTCGATCTTCTGCAACAAAAATTGGATGTTTATTCTCTGCACATAATACAGATTTCAGATTTAAGTTTTCGCCTCGGGCGAGCATTCGTTGTATTTTGGTCGTCCTACATGAATGCATATTGTGACGCAACGTGTGAGTGAGGAACTTGGATACCAGACCGACTGACCAGCTGTCTGGAATAATCTGAAGAACCTGTAAAAGATTTTTTAAAATGAATGATAGTTGAACAATTATTATGGGACTTAAGAAAGTACAGTAGATTGTCATCCAATGTATATACAGTATGACTGCTATTACATTGAGTGGAGTTGAATAGCTTAGTGGTTAAAATGCTTTCCTTTTAATCCCAGGGTCCTGGGTTCAAGTCCTGTGACTCGACTCCCTAAGCTCAATAAAGAGGCTTTGCTGATAAAAGCATCATATTATTTCATCTATTTAAGAGGGCTCCAGTGGCGGATCTAGGATTTAGCAATTGGGGGTGGATAATGGGAGGCGAGAAGGCACGAGCGGGGAGTGGGGGCATCCCCTCCCATTTGAGATTTTTTTGGAATTAGTAGAATTCTAGACGACCTTAGGTGTTTAAGTAAGCTTAAAATAGGAAGTGTATGTTTTACCAGAATACACGAGCACCACACAAACAAGACGAGTGACCATTATTTTATTTTTCACGGTATACGAAAGGGGGTGGCTAGCCACCTTATTTACCTCCTCCAGATCCGCCACTGCAGCCGACCTTAATGGATATGCTGGAAGGGTCACCCTCTATAAATATGGTTTTTAAAAAAAGTGCCTTCTCTTCAGTGGCAGAAAGGGGCCAAACCTATGAAATCTGTATTTTGTATTGATATTTTGTATTTTGTTGAGAGCAAGGATTGTTTTGTGAAACTATAATTAAATAGTTTGAAACACTTTTTACAATGATTAATTTCATTAATTTTTATATTTTTATTACACAAATATTTAGAAATACAAAATATCTTCTAGACACATCCTTGCTATGAGCTTCACTTGTACTAAGTTTGATAAACTTCCAAGCACGGAAAGTAGTCAAAGTGCAGTATAGAATAACTCTGTACAAAAGACATAGCGAATTAAAATAGCACAGAAAGAAAAACAGGAGAAGCAAATAGAAGGGTTATAAAGGAAAAGCATCAAGAGTAAGAAATTAATTTAAATGAAATACAATAAAATACAGCAATAATCGTAAGTAATAAATTTACCCGAACTTCATCAAAGTCAGCAAGGTCACTGTTAAGAAGGTTGATGGCTGGTGCAACCAATGAATCTTGCTTCCTAAACATGAATAAAAGATTTTAAAAAATTAATTACATAATTTAAAACCGAATGATGTACAGACTATTAATTCAATTACAAATTAATCATCAATCTTTCATTAATAATTTCTTCATAATTACTGTAATTCAATTTCAAATTTATTAGATATAAAAGGAATTCAGAACTATCTGAAAAAGAATTTTAAAAATTGAAGAAATTGAAGTGTTTAAATAGCATACCCTTCTAAGGGGTCCAAGTAGACACCTAGAAGAATCTGGAAAAGCCTTCTTCTGTACTTCTTATCATGCCCAGATGAGTTAACATGACAGTAGTTTTCTGCAGCCCCATAATCCTGTAGCTTGTACACAAGGATCCGTAAAGCTTTGTCGTGTTCTTCCAACTGCACAAAAAAAAAAAAAAAAAAACAGAAAGTAGCTCAAAAGATAATTATTTCACTTTCTAGTATACTGTAAATTCTTGTGTATAGCATAAAGCACAGTATTGGTTCCAGATATTTGTGGACAGGGGGTCCAAACCAAGAGGCCAGCCACCTAGAGCATAAGTCAGGGTCCCAGAATATAGTCCCTGGTGGGTTTCATGGGATAAGGTTTTTATTGTTTGGTCCAAATAATAATAGGGTTTGAAATTATAAAACATTGATTGGATCAGTAAATTTATAATTTTTAATCTGACAAGTGGCATCAGACATTGGGGGGGGGGGGGGGGGGGATATTTTGTATAGATGTGTATAAGTATACACCCCTACCCCTGTGGGGGAAGCCTAAATTCAATTTGACAGGGAATTTTATTGAAAAATAATACAATTTTGTGTTACTTTTATGGGATTCTATATTTAAAAATGATAATTTGATAGAAAACCCTGTCGGAGGTACCAGCACCCTGTTGGTCGGAAAAGAGCTGACACTACCACTGCAACCCATAAGATCGCAATAGTATATACCGCGCATATACGTTAGCACTGTTTGCACTAAACAGTTTTTAATCTCTAAAATTTGACAGCTTAGTAAGGCATGCTTCAATTGTACTTTCAGCACTCAAGATTTGACTTTTCCTTCAACAACCTTGCTGGAAATTCCACAACACGGGGTAGAAGCATTGTGGTCCAATGGTCCCCAATGGGGGTCCTTTGCCTCCCCGGACTCCTGCTAGCGCCACCCCCTAGATTTCCATGTCATCATTTTATGAATATGATGAAATGAAAAGCATGAGAACATAAAGTGCTGCCCCTTCCTCCACCCCCTCCCTCTGTCTGGGAAAAAAAACCAATTTTTTGGAGAATAAACAATTTTATTTAACTTTTAGAAAATGTGAGACTCTTAAATTGATTAAGTAAGTTCCTATGTTATAGAGCTTCCAAGAGATTCGCCACCTGGACTCCTTCTCAGGGGTTCTGGGCGCCTCTGTTACCAC